CACCCCCTCCAAGCGCCGCGCGCCCAGAGCGCGGGCGGCCAATCTGTGGCGCTCCCGGGGTGCGTTCCCCTTCCCCTCCGCACAAGCACCTTCCTCTCCGCCCGGGGCCCTCCCCCCCAAGTGCCACGTGCCCGGGGCCGGCACCCCCTCCAAGCGCCGCGCGCCCAGAGCGCGGGCGGCCAATCTGTGGCGCTCCCGGGGTGCGTTCCCCTTCCCCTCCGCACAAGCACCTTCCTCTCCCAGCCCTTCCCCTTTCTCTCTGCACAAGCCCCTTCCCTTCCCTCCCCCTCCCTTTCCCTCTCCCGTACCTTCTGCCTTCCACTTTGTGGGGCCGGAGTCTGTGCTCTGTCCCTGGACTCCGAACCCGCAACTCAGCCATGTAGTGCATCACAGCGCCCAGCAAGTTTAAAATCCCGGGCTGTGATGTTATGTCACGTCTGGGCGTCTCTCCACCCGCTGGTTTGAGCGTGCTGCGCAGGGCAGAGCTCAGGGAAGGTCGCACATGGCAGGGATGGGTCCGGGTACAGGGACGGGGGAGAGACGCTCTGGGGCCGGGCTGGGAGGATGCGCGCGGGGTCGGGACCAGCTCCAGCTATTGCGGGAGCATGGGCACCACAAGCCCACACAACTCACCGCCCATGCCTCTGCTGGCTAGCTGGCTCTCTCTCTCTCTTTTTCAGAGGGGGCGGGAGAGCGCCGGCTCCTCATGGAACCCCTCGTTGTGCTCCGCGGAACCCCAGGGTTCCGCGGAGCACCAATTGGGAAACACTGGCTTAATGGATCAGCTAGTCCTAGAATCCATAAAGGGTAAATCTTGATACAATCATAAGTGGTGCACAAGAACTGGTACAAGAGTTGAGTGTAGCTGAACTACTCAGTAAAAGTGACCACAATGTAATTAAATTTAATTTTGGTGGGGAGGGGAAATAAATGTTGTTGTGTTGAGTGTCTGTTAACTTGAGTGTCTGTTAACTTCAAAAAGGGAGACCTACACAAAAATGAGGTAGCTAGTTAAACTGAAATTAAGAGGAACAGTCACAAGTATGAAATTCTTGCAGAATGCACAGAAAATGTTTATAGAAAAACTAAATTATAACTCAAGTAAACAAAAAACAGCAAGATGGTCAAAAAAGTGCCATCATGGCTAAATAACAATGTAGAAGAGGAGGTTAGAGACAAAAAGACAGCCTTTAAAAATGTGCTGAGGAAAACAGAAGAAAGCATAAACTCTAACAAGTGTAAAAATATAATCAGAGAGGCAGAGGTGAAAATATGGAGATGCGCTTCAGTGCGCTGCTCCAGCAAGAGGGAGCCAGCCAATATTGGGTGCTCTGCTTCAGAACGAGGGGGATGCTTACAAATGGGGTAGTGGAGCTCTCCTACAGGCTGCTGCACCAAGCAGCAAGCAGCCAGGCAGATGAAAGGGGATGGATATGGGCACATACATCTCCCCATGTCCAGTATTGCCTCAGCCCCAAACATCCCCCCACTACCAAGGCACCATTCATGGAGGGGGAGAGGTGAAGGACTAAAGCTGCCTTCTCCCCAAGATTCCTACCAGGACAATGTTTGCTGTTCGCCTTCCAGTCTTCATCAGGGAGAGAGGGGAAGTACACAGCTTGTGTGCATTCCCCTAACTCCGAGCTGATGAGTGCAGTAAACAGAGGAGTGAGTGATCCAAGTTGTGCACTTTCCCTTGCTTTCAAGGTGACGGGAAGGGGAAGAGCAAGCAACATCCTGGTATGAATCTTCAGAGTCGGAGGGCTCCCGAGTGGCTTCCTTGCCCCCCCCCCCCCACACACACACAATGCACTTCCTGAGCCTTGCTCACAGCCCCAACTCTGACTCCATCATTCCCCAATCTTCTGGCCTGAGCCGCTCTTCACATTCTCCAACCCTGACTCCTACACTCCCATACCTCTGCCCTGAGCCGCCTCACATGCCCAACCCTGATTTCTGCAACCTCCAACACAACCCCAAACCTCTGCCCTGAGCCCTTCCTCATACTACCAATCCACAACACACTCCTGCAACCTCAACACACTCCAACGCTCTGCATTGAGCCCTTCCTTGCATCCCTAAACCTGACTCCTGCACCCTTCCCCACACATAACCCAACCCTCTGCCCTAAGCTCTCACAGCCCCAACCCTGATTCCTGCACTCCCCCCACACACCCAGCCCACAAACACCTTGCCCCCATCCTGATACCTGCACACCACCTTAATCCCCTCCCCTAAATCTCTCTTCACACCCCAACCCTGACGCCTGCACCCCTACATAAACTCCAACCTTCTGAGTCCTTCCTCACATTCCCTGATGCTAAATCCTGCTCCTCCAATGCACCCCAACCCTCCACCGATACCCTCTTCACCCCCTCAACTCTGAATTCCTTCACTTTCCCACATTCCCACCAATGTTCCCTCTAATCTGTTCCATCCATGTTCAGATTTTCCACTCACGTGCAGAATAAAATTTGTTATGTGCACCACGACATGTGTGAATTTGCACCAACAGAAGAAACACCCCGTTAAGGGTGATGCTTACCAGTTAACTGGTTACATCCCTAGTATCAAGATGGTGCAGATAACTTCTTAGGAAAAAGCAGAAAATAATTTCTATTCTAAATATAGATTATTGTATCATCCCATTCATAAAAGTATTTGAAAGTCTTACAGAGTTAAAAAATAACATGTCCAATGTTGGTCAAAAATATTCTCTCCATTCCTTTGCCTAGGGGAAAGTAAATAAAAGTGATAAGCATAGCATAAACAGAAGATGGTGACTTTTGTGGCACTCTCAGGTTTGGACTACACTTAAAATTTAGATCAACATAATATTTGTCAGTGAGTTGAGTAAAGCTCTCCCTCACCAACCCAGTTATGCCCAGCTAACCCATTGTATGAATGGAGCTATGTCAATAGAAGAACACTTCCACTGACTTACACCATCATTCAGGAGGCATACAGTGTTATGCCAGCATAGCTACAGCAACACAACTATCCCTCTATAGTCTCTCTAGTGCAGACGTACTTGGTTCTTGGAGGAGGAATTTCATAATCTAGGACTAGCGCTAAGGAAACATTATCTCTACCATAAAAACGCACATGCTTCATTCTAAAAGAAGATGTTTTAAGTGGCTCCTGAGGACCAAAACTGTCATGGGTATATAGCTTACTATTTACAAACCTTTGCAATAATCTGCAGGGTCTTCTTGCTCCTCATCATCAGATCCAAGAATCTCCTCCTCTGGTTCTGGTGGTGCTGGCTCTGGAAGAGGAGGAGGTGGGGGTGGAGGTGGAGGTGGAGGTGCAGATGGAGGTTTCTGTTGAGGCTCTGGCCTGAAAATAAAAAAGGAAGCACATTTATTGATAAGCTTGTTCAGGATGGTAACTGAGGATTTAGCCACAAAATCCATCTTTTGAATATTACTGAAATATATCCCATTTATTTCCCTAATTATTCTTTATATTATCTGGCCACAGATATTTCCAAAAATGCATGGAAGTAAAGCTGGCAATATGAGACAGAGTTTTCACATAAAAATAGACCATTACGTCATTGAAATTGCACACAAAAGATTTACAGTATCAGTAATAATGAGACAAAAATATCATACATTCCTAACCAGTATATGAAACAATGTACATATGTTTTCAGAATATGACATGCTTGGAAAATATATTCTTTAAAGATAATCAACATGGACAAGTTATATCAAATCTCCTCTGTAACAGCAAATAAAGTTTCAAGAACATATTGCAGGGAGCAATTCTCCAAAGTTGACTGAAATAAGCTAGATGATTCAGTGGGCTATTTCCATATTTATTTTCTGAATAATGTAGAAAATCACCTTACTGTGGAAAGAGCAAGTAGTAATGAAAAGGAAGAAAATACTAAGCTTTTTAGCTAGCATTTGCTCAAGATATCCAATGGCAATCAATCAATGGAAACACAGATTTTTACCAAATAGTTTTTAAGACTCAATTGTTAAAGACATTTGGTATTCTGGTAACTGTTCTGGCTTCTTAATTTCAGAAATATCCTACAAGTGAGATATCTTCTTGGTTTAGCTATTAGAATACATTTTCTATATGATAATTAGAACAATTACAGATGTTTCACATTTTGGTTGTCACCAGCTATGCACACATAAGAAAAAGAGAACATGTTTAAGGTTTCTAGGTTCCTAACTGCTATTTTGGGGGGGGGGGTCTCTCAAATAGTTTGATGTTATGGGTAGTTTTGAATTCTTATTTATAAATTTATACAAAATCTAATTTTCCGAAAAAGAGATCAGTAATATATCATATTGCTACAGGTAAGGTTAATCTGAGTCCTCCATCATCAGCCATAACTATCTACACTTATTTTCACAACTAATGCAAATCCCAGCCCTCTGAAAGACCTTATTTAAACTATCAATGTCTCTCCACTAAAAACAATAGTTGAGAAAGTTGAGGACAGGAAAATACATTGGGGAAACATGTTAACTTTTCAACACTGGAAATCTAGATTTGAATACTGCTCCCATAATGAAAAATTATTCAGGTAAATTTATCACAGCCCTACATAGGATCCATACCACAATACACACGCCCTATATTTTTGCACAATATACAGGCTACGAAAATATACCACTTGGAATAACATAGTACAGTTGATCAGAAATAAGTTTCATTGACAATATGGAGCAGCCTGCACAGAAGCTGCTATGCCTTCACTCTACGCAATATTATTAAAAGTTACGAGTATCAAATTTATCCCCCCCACACCTCCTCCAGAAGCAAATGGAAGAAGTGTTATTCCAGTACATTTTGAGCTCTAGAAAGATAATTTTGAATACATTTCAACCTCCTTTTTGCTAAATCTGAGATGGAAATTACCAATTAAAAATAAGGGGCTGAGTGAGAGAGAACAAAAACAAGGAAAGGAAAAACGCATGCATAAATCATAGCTAAAGTCCTGTGCAATTATAAAATTTGTCTCTGCACCCAATCCATGATCTGCAAACATAGTCTGCAGACAAAGCAGCTATCCGCAGATTTGCAAGGCACTATTTATAGCAAGTGTGTTTCTAAATACTTTTTTCATGGAACTAGATTAATTTTTATTCCTCATGTTATTTTTGTTAGCATGATGTGTCTCTGTACCGTCATTTTATCAAAATAAAACTGAATTTGGTTTCACAAAAACACGATTTCAGCACAGTCACCATCAATCTTTCTGCAAGATCAATTAATGTTCCTGAAATCTACCATCTTCAAAAATTGGTTTTATAACATAAATAAACAAATAGCATTCAAGGCCAGCTGGATGGTGACAAAAAAACTCTAATCCATTTTCAAAAGAATTCAGTGTAAAGCTCCATGCCACAAACCTTGAAACTTCATCTTCTGCACATGAAGCCATTTTGGATACCGTGTTCAAGGACTCTAAACAGTTCAACATTAAGACTGATGAGCTAGAAAACAAATGCATAATCATGAACGTCAACTTGGTTGGCATACCTGAAAACAGTGAGTTAGGTAACAAGGGCATATTTTTGAATGTTTAGAATCATCATATTGGATGATATTACTCTAGAAACTATAGTAATTAACTTCAGCCATGAGATTCCACATTGGATAACATTTCAGAGAATGTGTCAATAATATCTAGTTAGGCTATAATTTACTCTTCCACCAAAGAATATCTTCACCAGACACCTATGTAGAGGGGCAAAAGTGCTGAGTGCTGAGAGGAAGTGTGTTTGGGGAAAATGATAGGTGAGGGAAGGAGAGAAGAGGGCAAGTACAAAAGGGGCAGCAGACTGGAAAGAAAGAGTAGGAGGGAGTAGTATTAGTGATAGCTGTGAGGTCAGGAGTGGAGAGCAGGTAGAGGATGGGCAAAATCCTGGCACTACAAAATTTAGCAAGACTTTACTAAGACCCTCTCTCTTAGGGACAGAGCTTTCATTGTTGCTTTAGCATCTTGCAATCTACAGTGATTTAGTATCAAAAAGCTGATGTGTTATTTCTGCACATATCTTCCAGATATTGTTAGCCTTTTAGAGAGAATTATAACTTATCTCGCAAATATGTAAGTTTTTATTATTCATCTTGAAGTAAACACCAAAGCAATATCAATAACCTCTTTCCACAGGCCAAAAAGTAATTAATATTTGCAGAATATGAAAAGCAGATATTTCTAGAGAAACAGTAACAAAAAATCCTTCATTTCTGAGACTTTCAATTTAATATATTTGACTTTGGAAGGGATTCTTTTTTCTCTTTTGCAATCCTTGTATTTTCTAACTGGGAATTTGTGCTAGGTTGTTCTTATTGGTCTTCGTGTATGTTATATTAGTGATTCTTGGAATAAGGAAGGATGGGAGGAAGAGACTTCAAATAGTTTCTTATCGGACTATTAAGAATGTTACTTACAAGATACAAAGTGCTGATTTAAAATGAGAGAGAGCTCTGTTTTGTGTATGGAGATTGTAAGATTGCCATCTCTGGAGGGGTTACATTTATTTGCTGCCTGAGAAGGGGATGGGGAAGCATAGCACCTGGCTGACTATCTATGTAAGCACTTCTCTAGTTTTCTGGGGTTTTAAAACCGAACACATGCTATACATCACATAAACCTGTTAACTACATCTAACGCTTAATTTGGCTACCTGAATTTCTGTCAAATAGTTTAATAAAAACTAGTTATGATCCTTTACCAATGTTAAATTTTGTTATCCCCGTGCTACTCTATTTCACAGTTTTCAGCGCTTCTTGTTAAACAGTGGCACGTCTGACAGGGTTACTTTACATGTCCTCTTATTGAATCATCAGATATTATGAAAGCTACTCTTGTATCCTTCTTTGAGATGAATGAACAAAATATAAAATTAGTTATTGTTGAGATTTTATGTACAACTATAAAGACTACTGAAATGATAATTTTAACAAATGTAAATAAAACATTTTCAAGTGGACTTCAAAACACGTTTGACGGGAAAATGTGAAAATGCTAAAATTTTAAATTATAGCAAAAAGCAAATCAACTTCAATTACTATTTTTAAAGCAGCATTATCAAACTTTCTATGTAACACAATAAATTTTTAACTAAAGATTATTTACATTATTACACTTTTATGATATCCCAAATATGAATTTAACACATACACTAAAACATACAAGAGAGCATTATAATTTTTTCCTTCCACACAGAACACCCTATACTCTGTGGTCCATTATAACTGAATTATTCCTCCTCAACTTTCCAAGCCTGGAGGCTCCTCTTTTTAAAAAAGAAGAGAACAAAAACCCCTATCAGTCTTTACACGGTTCTGGAAGCAGGTAGAGCTTTTCAGAGAAATTATTTCCTTTCATTCTCTTGTTGACTACCCAAGCTAAGACGACAAACTGTCAATTCTAATTAATATAATTACAAGAGATGATATTTCTCCAGGCAGGTTAACTTTATGTTATTCATTTATTATACAAAAATAGAAATGAAGAACAACAGTAAAGTAAGACCACAAGCACTCTCTCTCTCTCTCTCTCTCTAGAAATACTCCAAAAGAAAAAAAGGATTCAGAAGTTTCAATTAAATGCAAAATTTGATCATGGCCTATGGGGGGAGGGGTCTCCTAAATTTACTGTTTACTGTTCTCTCTTGTGGGCAACTGGTGCTCCAAGATCCCTTACAGCTAGAAGTAGCCAGCAGAAAAAACAATTACCACAAACTAGCCAATTAGCCCATCATAAGACAGGATTTTCAGGTCTCTCCTCTATGTCGGTCTTCTCTCCTGAGCCTCCAGTCTCTCGCTCCATCTCTCTCTCTCTCCTTCTCCTATTGCCTCCCCCTCTCTCTCTCTTAGCTCTCCTCCTCCTCATGCCTCTCTCTCTCTGTCTCTCTCTTTCTCTTCTCCTCCCCCTCCTGCCTCTCACTCCGGGGACCGGAGTCCAAACGGACGTTTGGGTTCCGCACTCCCCGTGCTGCATGGACCCAAACAGTCACTTGAGCCACTTGCTCCCACGCGGCAGCCTGGTTGAGCGGTGCAGAAGTCAGCCGAGCACCATGGTGGGAGGCGAAGGGGGAGCAGGGCGGTGAAATTCACGGCGAGGGGGCGGGGCTTGGAGAATGGGGACTCCCAGGCAGGTTGCCCAATGGCTCCGGTCAGTCCGCCATGGCACTCGGCTGACTTCTGTGCCGCTCAGCCAAGCCGCCACGGGTGAGCAAGCGGCCGTTTGGGCCCCGCACTCCTCATGCAGCATAGGCCGCCCAGAGGGAACAGCCAGCATTTCAGCAACAGCGCTGCCCAGAGGCACCAGCCAGCATTTCAGGCAACAGCGTAGCACAGAGGAAACAGCCAGCATTACAGACTCTCAGACATTGGGCTACTATATATATGAGAGAGAAAACTTAAAACATCAGGAATCATTTGATTTTTTTTCTTTTCTTATTTCTTCTCACCTCACATGAAGAGTTTTAATAAAACAAAGCAAGAGAGAGATGCCAGAACCCTTTGTCCAAAAGTTGTATCAAAGACAACAGAGCTATTTTAAAGTAATGAATAAGAATACACTGAACACCAGGTAGCCATACAACAAATTTACTTGACCAAAACACTGTTCTGCATGGGGAACGACAGCATGCCTGAATGAATGGGCCCTTATAGAGGGAGGGCAAACTTTTCTGAATAACTTCTAGGCCTGACATGTTCTTGACTTTATCCATCTGAAAATAGTACATATGGATGCCTTTGTACCTCTTCTCCCGTCTTTCAATATTATGCAAAAAAGATTCTGAATGAGCTGATCATATCTACAGTATGTATCTGATTCTCCCATTTGTGGCCAAGCTTGGTACACATGGAATGCGAAGAGACTGGCTGAAGTAAAAGATTTTGAAGGAGAAAATTCCATGCAGACCTGAGACTCACCTCTTCTAGGAAAAATTGCATTTATTGATTCCAGATGAATAAATTCCCTGAACTTACTAACTTTCTTTAACTACTAACAAGAAAAATATTTAATATAAAGTTACAGGAATACTCCTTGATACATTTAATAAAAGAAAGTTTGGAGATTACTTGAAGTACAGGTTGGACCTCACGGATCTGGCACCTTCAGAACTGACCAGTCCCACAGGAAACAATTTACCAGACCAGGAGAGGTCAATTCCGGCACCTCTGTTGATGGATTCTGGGCTCTCCCGGGGCCCGTCAGCAGACCCTGGGATCCCCTCCTGGCTGCAGGCCGGTTACTGGCCCTGCTGCCAGGCTCCCTGCATCTTAGCCAATGGGCCCAGCTCCTTGGCCAATCCCGGGCTTCCAGCTGCTGGGCTCCGCAGCTACTCCTGGGCCTTGCCACTGGGCTCTGGGGCCAGCCTTGGGAACGCCACTAGGCTAGACTGCCTGTGGCCAACCTTGGGGTTGCTTCTAGGTGCCACTGCCAGTGCCTGGCTCTGGGCTTTGTCAGGCTCCTTGCTCCATGGCCAGCCGTGGCTGCCTGGCTTGCAGCTACACTCCCTGCCACGAGCTTCCCAGTGCTCTTTTGTCCATGGTCCTGCCACACCATAGATGTGGCTAGACCAGAGAGTCCCAGGCCAGAGAGGTTCAACTTGTATATCATTCTACTAGTCTTCTGACAGCATCTCTGTAGATACAAATCTTTAAGGAATTAAATATAAGTCTGCTGCAAAAGAAGGGCTAGTGGTAGAAATATATTTTGTCTAAAAATGCAGAATATCTTCCATGCAGAAAGATAGGAGGAACAATACAACAACTGATCACAGAACAGTATTTGCATATCTTGCAATACTTCATAATGTTGCCATGCCAACTGGCTCTGATTTCTACTGTCACCACCAGCTGCCAGTATACACTGTATGTAAGCAGGAAAAAAACATTTAAATAATAAGAACATAAGAATGGCCATATTGTCATCAGACCAATGGTCCATCTAGTCCAGTATCCGGTCTCCCAACTGTGGTAAATGCCAGGTGCTTCAGAGGGAATGAGCAGAATAAGTGATCCATCCCGTTGCCCATTCCCAGATTCTGGAAAACAGAGACTATGGACATTTAATATGTAATAGAATAAACTTACTAGGCTTTTGGTCATTTAAATTTATTGGAGACCCAAGGCCTCATTAAACTTACTCAACGGTATTTCAACTTTTTTCTTTCAAACCTCTAAATTTTTGTATTATTAACCTCAAAAGCTACAGCATAAGAAATATATATTTGTGGATCTAATTATAATCTTTTCTGTTTTATGTTGAATCACAGAGATGGACATGTTGAGTGCTGTGTAGGTACATAAACTTGAATTTGCCTTGCACTCTGTTAGGGCAAAATTGAACTATTTTATCATTAGAGAGCAAGACTATCTCTCAACTTTATCTCCGATAAAAGCCACAATGAGAAATTAATGATATTCTTGGAAGAGAAAAGATTTCACATCCCAACACATAGCACTTGCC